AGGATTTATAAGAAAGGACTGAAACATCACAGTCTCTTGGTTAAGGATGGAGAAAGGGATGGAAAATAAACAATTTCTTTTTTTAAATATTATTGTGTAATTTTAAAGGCCACCGTTATAAAAATAAAATATTAATGTGGACTTAAATATAAATGTTGAATTTCATGTTATGGAAACACCTGTTGAAAAGGTGTCAGTGCCCAAGTATTCTTTTCTAATCAAATCTGACTTTGGTTTTGAAAACATTTTTTTTCCAATACATTTCAATTTGCCCTTAGCTTCCTCTCTGACTTATTTTGAGGAAAAAAAACTTTTCTTAACCTCAAGATTAGAAAACAATTTTGCTTAATTTACAAATTCTTTGTTGAATTACTTGCAAGAAAATTCCTGTTCCACAGTATAAAACATGAATCATTGTGCAACTTCACACCAGTGTTTTGATCCCTTCATTGCAGTCCCATTTCAGTTTGTCTGGGAAAGAATACCAAAATTTGTTGCTTTTTATGTCAGGTTTTGAAGCTAACAGGAAGACATCCAACAAAATCATTTCTTTATCCTAAAAAACAGTTCCCTGCTATAAGGCAGTCACTGAATGCTTCTGGGCTTTTCTGTTAGGATTAAACATAGTTTACAATGAAATCTAAGCCCATTTAACAGTTCATCAGAGGAAGTATGGAGTTCAGATTTCTTGGGGGGCAGGCAGAGACATTACTGTTAATAGTGCTTGTGATTGGTATCTCTGGCTTCTTTCTGTTTAACACAGTCCTGATAATGCCACCGTGAGCAGCTGAGCGCAAAGTCAAATCAGTAAAGGCAATACAAACCAAAGTCAAAGAAATATCAGGGGCTGTCACAGCTGAGCTGTGTCTGTGGAAGTATTTCATCAGTACAGCATGCTTAATTTGTTTGGTTTTGTTTTAAAAGGTGTCACACTGGGAGCAAATTAGTGTGGGTAAGCCAGAAGCAGAGCTGAGTTTTGGGAAAGCAAACAGCATCTTGGTGCTTCAGCTCTGCTGCCTCCTTCAACCCAGTGCAGGGTCTCAGTGGTAGAAGAGCTCATTTCCACTTAACCACATCCACATGGGAGGGATTCAACCTCAGATATAGAAAAGCAGCTCTTACCCAATGCAGCAAAAAAAAAAAAAAAAAAAAAGGGAGGACAGACTAGTTCTTTGAATTAGTGTATTGTAACTAACAGGCTGTGTGTTCCTGTTAGGACAGAGTGGGTCAGTGAGCTTGTTTGTGCCAGGAGATGTGTGAAGGGAGCAGCGTGCAATTGCATTAGTGGCCAAAGTGAGTATTCTGATTTTATAGCAGCTGGGCTCCAAGGAAGATGCTTTCAAGGTTGTCTGAAGAAAAGTAGGTATTAAATGGTTAAGTGGGATTCAGCTTGAAGGAAGAGCAAACCCAAGGCACGGGGACACCCTATTTGTTCCAGTCCACAGAGGAAGAGATAGCATTAGAGCAGCCCATTAGTATGAAAAAAAGCACTGAAATTCTGCAATATTAGAGATTTATGCAATAGGGGAAAAGTGCGATATTAGGAGTGTGCATATTTGTCAGGTGTTTTAGCGTGTCAAACCCAAGTCAAAATGTTGGCTAAGAGAAAAAACTTGTGTCTGGGTTTGCACTCATGTTTCAATAGGATAAACAAGGAGGGATTTGCAGTTGTCTATGCCTTGTGTCAGGAGAAAGAGAGCCTTTCCCATTAGAGTTTCCACTGCACTTGTACTTTGGACAATGAAGGCACCAAGGCAATTATGAAACAACAGTCGATATGCTCTAAAGTTGAGATTCTTTTGCCCTTTCTTCTTGTATTTTTTTGTTTTCCTGCTGATAGACTCAGAATGTATCAAATTCAAACAGAGAAAGAGGGGGAGAGAGGGACCTGCTAAGTACAAGGCTGTCATAACTTATAACAAGATTATCATATGTAGAAGTGTTACTTACCATATCCTGCAATATTCATTGCCACTGCTAGGAGATCAGTGTAAGAGAGATAAAAGTAAATACATTTTTGCATAGCAGGTAGGGAACTTCCAGAATTCATTGCTACAGGAGGCTGGGCTGATGGGCATTGTTAGCAGATTCCAAAAGATATAAGTGGCGTTCATAGGCAACAGGTCTAAATAGCAAGTAGGTACAAAAGAGAACAAGAGATGTGCCCTCCAGCATCCCTGACAGAATGATTGTGGATGCTGGCAGAGTGCAGGAGGAATGGACCTCGGAAAAGGGATGTACTCGTGTGCTTTCCCTAAACAGCCATCCCCCTTGTCGCTGACCACAGCAGCATGATGGCCTGGGTGCATGAGCATGTCTCATGTTCTCAGCTCACTCCTGCCTGACTAGTGAATCATTTAGACCAGAGTGTCTCAAAGCTTCCCAGCAGCACAGGCAAAATTTAATTTTGTGGTTGTGACAGAACTGCTGCTTTAGGCACCATCGTGCCTGAGAGCTGTGCCCGGTCACCAGGATGTGTTGGCTGTGGGCCTGCTGCCCAGGAATTGTTCTGCTGCTGCCACCAATACAGCACAGGATGGCTTAATATTAACTGTTAATTAGCAGCTTTCCCAACATCCACAGTATGCAGATCTGCCTCTCTCTAAGCTGTGATTTTTCTGCCGCACATCACTTTGCAACCATAGCTAAGTGCTCTGGGTAAGACTACAGCTGGTATATTACAATGTGACAGAGCCCCTGAATAATTTATATCTAAGTCTCCATTTCATACTTATTTGTTATCCTATGGGTTTTCCCCTAGGATATGCCATCTAGTTTCAATTTAAAACGTAAGTTCCATAAATTACCACTGCACAGAAGTTGCTTTAACACGCCATTTATGCAGGTAATGGTGCACATTGTAGCAGAAGTGTTTCAGAGTCTCCACTCCTGGGATTGCAGATTCACAGTAAGCTGGTAAAGGGGAAACAATGAGGAGTTCGCTAGAAAATTGAACAAATCCACCTTAACATATCAGAGCAAATCACCACCCTGATGTTGTGAACTCTGCAGGGCAATGTTTCTGCCACAGCACGGTCATCCACAGTCCCTGCTCGCATTAAGCAGAAAGGAAGTGTGTGCATTGTTTGTCATGTGCATTTAGATACCAGTTCATGAAAGTGCACTTAGGAAGAGGATTATGACACATTTGTGGTAGGTATAAATAAGGCCCATTACATCAGCAGTTCTTAATCCTTGCTTTATTCTCTGGATATATGATTTTCTGAAAAAAAGTCATAACTTCAGAGAACAACCAGTCTAAGTTCAATGATGTTTTAGCAGGGTGTCATCCAAATATTACTAAAATGTGTATAAATCTGTTATATTTCAAGATAAGTGCTTGAGATGTTCACAGAATATTCTGAGTTGGAAGGGACCCACCGTATTTTTACTTTAAAGAGTTACATGAATTATATAACAGTACATGCATTTCAGAAAAATTCCCTGTTTACATGTCTTGGCTAACCTAAACAAAATCATGTCATTGAAATCATTAGGAGTGTTTTTCTGTGCATGAGGCCACATTTTGGCAAAATGTTTCTCCTTAAGTATTTAGGTTTAATTCTTATTCTTAATACTTATTAAATTTAATAGGCTTTGGACACCTGCTTTAAATTAATGACATTAACTATTTCTTTAGTAAGACTAGGGACTATTTTGGCAACTGCTAATTTTATAACACTGTAATATATTTTGTTTCATTATTTAGTCACACAACTGCATATTTCAATAGGATAATATAATGTAATACTCTCCTATCAAATATATGTGCCAATCTAGAACAGCTTCAGACTGAAATCACTTAAATAGTGCACCCAAAGGAGATTGATATTTGGGTTACAGTGTACAAAGCTACCAGCTACAAGCAAGGTATCAGTGAATCCCCAGGCTGTAATATATCTTGTTTAAGTGATTAGTATCTAAAGGCCTGAGATGCTGTAGACAGGATTCAGTAAAACAACCTTTCATTCCCAGTCTTGAGTCTGCCTTTTTGGTGATTTCCCTCATGTAAATTTGAAAGTATATCTTGTTATGTGTAAGCAAAGACTGAGTAGCAGTAATAAATACACCCTGCTGTCTGTTAGGCAAATCTCCTGAACTGTGGAGCTTCTTGAGAGTCTTTAGGAAAGAGTTAGGTATCACTTGCCGGTGGGAAGATGTGAATATGTGAATCTGCAGGATGGTCAGCTCCCTTCTCTGTGGTGCCCTTAAGCTGCCTAGGGGGGTGCATTGCTTTTGGCCTGGTTGAGGCGAGTGCAGGAGGCACAAGAGGAAAGGCTTCACAAAAGAAGGAAATCAAGGATTTCAAGTTAAATCTTACATTGCTTGTGATAACATGTGTAACAAGCAATTATTTGAGGGAAGGATGCAGAAGGGGCGGGAAAAGGGATGGTCTGTGACACAGTGCAGCAACCGAAACAAATTTAGATTGTGCGTAAGATGTGCTGCTTTGAGACTGATAAGCCTGGCTCAGGGAAAACACTCAGCTCATGCGAGTGCACTTGTGAATGTGAATGGCCTAAATAATTTGAGAATCCATTTACAAATCACTTACGTGTACCTCACCCTGCTTGCGTGATTTCTGGTTCCTGTCAGCCACACAGAACCAAATTGTTCATCACAGAAACAGAAAGCTGTTTTCACTTAGCTTGCCAAGCATCTTGCCAAACTGTGGGCCCTGAAACCTTGAAAGAACTAATTTTTAATTTAGGAAAGATCTGTTTAGTCCTTTAGGAAAGGACTGTTCCAGTCCTGTTCTGCTTCCTTTTTGATTTCTCTTCTTTTCTCTGCTTGTTCTTTCACTTTCTTTAATAGCTGACATCTGGGATGGTGAGGTTGTAATAGTGGCAGTTCATTATATCCAGTAATTCAAACGGTCATTGAATACTCTTCGATGGTAGGTTACTACTCATAAGTTTCTGATGCTACTATTTCTGATGCATATGTTGCATATACATGTTTCATGTATCTAAATAAATGCATTGCTTTGGATCCAACAGGCCAGAACCAGTACTGTGGACAAAGGACGGTGGAGAACTACCAGATCCAGAGAGAATGGTTGTCAATGGCAGGGTTCTAAGCATCAGTTTCCTAAACAAAACAGACAATGGCACATACCGATGTGAAGCAAAAAATCCTATTGGCCGAAACAGCACAGAATATGTCCTGATAGTACATGGTGAGTGTGTTCTTGTTAGTGCATGTAATGCATATGTAACGTTTCCAGCCAATCCAGTCAGCTGCTTATGGTCATCACACAATGAATAGCAAGAAAAAAAGTTGGCAGTGTAATTGCACTTCTATTTATACTATCACCTAGCTATGGGAAGGATGTTATCTTTCTTTTATTAGCATGCCTCTCTTCATACAGTTTAAACAAAATATAGTGACTTATGCTGTGAACTTTTTGCTGAGTAAGCACCTGTAAAAATGTTTTGCAGTATGTCGGTCCTGTTTTAAAAACACTTGCCTCAGGCCCAGCTCTTCAGATAAAGCTGGGCACAAAAGGATATATGAAGAGAAGTACCAGACAGTGAGTGCTTGAGGTTTTCTGTTTAGTTATTTATAGACCACCAAAGATGGGAGATCAGATTCTTCGCACAAGTCATAGCCTGCTACTGAGAAAATTCAGCTAGTCCAAGTTGGCTGGTCATCATCTGGCCTATCATTACAGTCAAGCATCAAAACTATGTCATGTCCTTAATTCATTATACTACTTCTAATAAAACTGAAAAATAGGAAGGTTCATATTTAATTTAAGTTGATTTTTTTCCTTAATAAATTAGGCAACAATATATATCACGTGAAAAGAATAGCTACCTTCTAAGTTGATCATGAAGTAGATTGATATAAGTTGAATATAGGAGAAACTATAATACAAAATTAGGATTTACCTTTAATACAGCCTCGCAATATGGATCTAGCAGTCTCAAAACATGATGTTTTCTTATCACAAATATGTATTCCTGGAAGATGATGATTTCCATAATTTGAATTTTAATTTAACTGAATATAAAGGCAGAAACTCCACTGTAGTTAATGATTTTTCTTGGTGTAATTTTTCAAAAAATGTGACTTCTTATAACTATGACAAAATAAAATGAAAAAAAAAAACTAATGAAAATGATAGTTTGTAAGTAGACATGAGAATTATGTTGATTTTATTTGCTCATGATGAATTCAGTTACAAAAAATATATGTTTCTTTGGCAGTTGTAAGGTCTCAAGAACATTTTTCACTACAGGTTTAACCTGCCTTTAGGTATTTGTCATAAAACTTCTAATAAGTGCTGCTTTCAGTAGGGAGCTGTTTATTGGCGCTGTTGATGAAATGTCATTTGTCAAAAGAAACCCTCAGATTACTTTTCATTTTCCTTGAAGTTCACTATTAGTTTATGTAGAATTAGTGGCACAAGTAAGGAGGAGGTCTTTGCATGAGGAACACAGAGCCTGTACTGCTGCGTGAGTATTTCTGTATTAAAGACAAGGAGAAAAACTAAACCCCCTCACCTCGACTTACATTGGTTACCACAAAGAAGAGAAAAAGAAAAAAAAATGTCCTTTACATGCTGGAGGTGGTGGGGTGGTGGTTGTTGGCTGCAGGTACAAGTGCACTGCCTTTGATGAGGTAATGGCTTCTGTGCTTGCCACATGTTGAAAATTCTGTGATTTTTCTTTTCTGCCCAATTTACTTACGTGATTATTTCTGCAAATATGGCCTTTGATAATGGTAGATTTGTTTCCCATCAGTGATGGCTCTGCAATATACCTCTATCAAAGACTATTTCACCATTTCCTGTATGTCTTTCGCACAATGGTGTGCCCCCTGTTGATCTGATTATCTTCCAAACAACTTCATGGCAGTCTGTAAAATCATTCATTATCAGGGAGGCGTTCTGTTATGTTTGGCAGCATATTAGGCATGTTATCAGCTTTAGCTCCCTCACTGCTGACCTTTTCTGTTATGAGTACCAGAGTTTTCCTAATTGCATTTCTGCAATTCCAGTGTTGGAACTAGAGAAGGTAAATGTCAGGTGCTTCCGAGCTTTCTGAAACAATGAGAGTAATGTGACAGAGTATGGGATGATGTTTAGTGCTTAACAACTTACTGCATTTCAGAGCTGTTAGGTTTATTTTAAGTACAGAGGAGACTGACACATTATTTTATCAAGTGTAGATCAGTTGTATAGATCAATTTAAGCAGCCTTACCCCTTCTTTAGCTCATTATATTCACAAAAGTCTCTAGTGAAACATAATCCTCCCCAAATTATACAATATTTTCTCTCTATTTCTCTGGGGGCTAAAAACCTACTTTTTATTACTTTCCGAGATGCATCCTTCCATTTAATAGAGGATGTATTTTTTTATCTTCCTAAATATATCTGGAAGCATCCTTTGATTTCTCATCCCTTCCCCTGTGCTTAATGTGTTGATGTAATTTTTTTTGTCCTACTTCTTTGTTAGAGTTGATTTATCCCATAAGTATGCCTTCTTACTTTGACTGTTAGGTTTCTAATACAAGTACATGCCAGATTTTCCATGAGAACTTGTGTGAGGAAACAGAGGACGTCAATGGAAGGTATCCTCTGCAGAGGCAGGGGAGTGCAACCCAATTCAGAGCTTTTCTTTTCTTATGTATACTGTGATTTGCACTACATTTTTTTCCTTTTTTTTCACTTCTACTCTGACAGATTTTCTGTCTTTCTGTTTGTTAATGTTATAAAAGCTTCATCTGGCTTCTGTTCTTTTTTCTCCCCCATGAAATCCCCCTCTCAGTGGTACTGAATCTGCTAATTCTGTCAGTTCCTAAAGTTATCTTACTAACTGAGAGAAGATTTAGACAGCTTTAGTGTAGAGAGGATTGCCTAAAAATGGAAGGAATAGTTTATTATAATTAGAGATTAAAGGCAAGCAAAGTATTTATACGTATTAATTGTACAAACCAAGCAAAGAGTATCTCATACCTTTAACTGAACCAACCTAGGCACAAAATTATATGGAAAAGTAGTATTTTTTCCACAGTGAGGGACGATGAAGTAATACTATTTTGATGTTAAGGGATGGCACTGGAAAAAAAATATTGCTATAAGCAGAGGAATGGAAATCTGTCCAATGCAATTACTATCTGATAACATAAAAAAATCTTTTTATATCTGTAGTATAATTAAAGAAATCAGACTTCAGAGAAATTGAACCTATTTGAATAAAGTTAACGGCATGGGCTGTTAAATATGCTCATGCTGCTTTGCTTGAATCAATATGTCTGCTAATTTAATTTTTCTTAACATTTATTGTTAATAATGAATGTCATAAAATACTTTGTGAAGCAGGAGGGTGGGCACAAAGTCAGAGTTTATAGGCAGAAATACAAAGGCAAGACGTAGTTTACTCAAACATTTGTCCCTTGCAGTAACAAAAGCACGAGCTTTAATGCCTGTAGCTGTTGTCATCTCTGTATTCTAATTGGTGAGCCTGGTGCTTTAGAAGTGCACATTCTGGCTGGATATATTACACCCTTTCTTTGGTAATGTGCCCCAGGCAATTTTCCCTCTCTTCCAATTTATTAAGAATTTTTGTTTACCTTTGTGCAAATACTTGTCATTAATCATCACCAAAGAGAGCAAACTGTCAGACTCATTTTGCTCAACCCAAAAACATAGATTCTACTTGCAAAGCTTAGGTAATAAGTGTACTGACTTAGCTGGAGTAGAGAATGAAGGTGCTCCATCATAATGAAACGGAAGATACACCTGTGATCTATGTAGGAGTGGTTCATAACCTCTGGAGATCACTGCTGAGGACTTAGTTCATCATCACGTTGGAGTGAGTGACACAAGCCCACATCATTGACAAACCTTCTTAATGGCAACAGCAGCATTTGATAATTTGCAGACCTATTTGAAATGAAGAACCTTCGTGAAATATCCTGATGTGCTAGTCTACAGACAAGCATTAAATTAATTGAAATATTCAGAGCTATAATGTGTCGTGTAGCAATTATCTAGAAGAGCAGTGTGGAAATTAATATGAATCAGCAGCTGTGGATGGTCAAGGCTGTTCTGACTGCCCTAATATACATACATTACATACATAATATTGCCCATATTATACATACAAAGCATTTGAGCCAGTTGCTTAGTATCTCTGAAGAATAAAAAGTGTCATAGCATATTCCTTTGTCTTCAGCCTCTCTATTTTGTATTTTTTTCTTAGGCGAGCTATTTTTTGCAAATAAAGGTGGCTGAAAAAGACTGAGTTACATCCTCATTAGTATTTTGAAATGTGCTTTCAAACAGAAGATCTACTACAGTGTGTAAGACCAAAGGTCCCACTGCACCTTTCCTAACTATAACATTATTTATATTCCACCTGCTTGTCCAGTCCCATCTCAAAACATTTGTCATCTTAGCTTTCACAGTAACCTGTGGCAACAAGTTTCTGAATTGAGTTACGTGCTTTGAGGGAAAAGTATTCTCTTTTGTTTGTTTAAGCGTGCTGCTTGATCTCTTCACTTCCCAACTCTACAAGCTATTTGGCCTCTCTTGCTGTTTGTCCTGGAAGTATGCAATTGAAATCACTTTTATACTTGTGCTGCTTCCCTTCCGTAGATTCTCAGATTTTTCCACCCTGCTCTCATTTTTCCATTAGTTACGATCCTAAACTCTGCATTTCCTGGATTCCTGTCCCTTGTATCCACTCTCCTTCCTTGGAGGTCTTTTTTCCCACCTTTTTTCTTCATTTTTGTTCTAGTTGTAAATCTCTGTGATTGACTGTTCTCCACGTCTGGTAAATGGCACTGTACCAAATCAGCTCCAGAAACCCGGGTTTATTCAATCCTGCCTCCAAATACATTTAGAGAGGCTCACCTTTTGTGGCCACTCATGTGGCCACAATTCCAGGATGGTGCACTTCTAAATTTATACAAGTTTGGTTTTAAATCTCTCCAAGAAAGTAGAAACCTAGTAGAACAGTAAATTGAAAGGAAACCGAGGAGGTGAGGATATTTTCTGCTTTCTTGGAAAACTAAGCTTACTGAATAGGCAATACATCTTTGGATTTGCAAATGTTTTCACTACAGACCTCTGATAAATCTTGTGTAGTGTTTTTGGACACCTCATCTTCATAAGCATATATCAAAAAGCACATAAAAAATATTCACTGGAGGGAAGGTGGAAGGAA